TTTTTTTTTTTTTACAGCATCATTTATTTCTGGTTCAATGTAGACATTATACACAGAAGTGTTAACAAAAGTAATAAGAAATTAACTATAATAACTTCGTGGGTTCGCCCAAACCTGAGTCACCCTGTAACATAATTAATTTAGAGAATAATTTAATCTTCTTTAAGCTTCATTCCTCCAATAGATCTTGAGGGAGCCTTCGACGTAGCCTCCTGTTCTCAGTTGCTTCACCAAGATGAAAAGTTAATGCACCAGGAACATGGTTTAAAGATTTTAGAAATTTTGAGGTGGTTTTTTCAATAAAGGCCGAGATAGACTCCACTCCTAGTTCTTCATGTATATGCCTGTTTCTAACAAACCAGGGAGCATTCACCGCTATTCTTAGAATTTTGTTTTGAATCACTTGAATTTTGAAGAGTTTGTTTTTTGATATAGCTAATCCCCAGATAGGAGATGCATATGTAATCAAGGGCCGAATTATTGATTTATAGATTAGAACTGTACAAGCTGGCTTCAGAGTAGATTTCCTATTGATTAAAGGGAAAAGCTTTGCAAGGCGTGCATAACCTTGGGACAGTTGTTGATTAACGTGGTAGTTCCAATTAAGTTTTTTGTCCAGCCATACTCCAAGATATTTTATGGCCTGGTCATCAGGGTTCCAAGGTAGAAAGTTACCATATATTTGAATTTCATGTGGCGATGTATGTTTTTTCAAGGAGAATATTTTGGTTTTACATTTTGTTGAATTTAGGCGAAATTTCCACTTGTAGAACCAATCAATAAGAAGATCCACAGAGTATTGCAGGGAATACGTGGCCTCGTGGATGTCGGAATGCTGGCACAGGATAGCAGTGTCGTCGGCGTAGAGAGCTAATGAGGCGTCTTCTGGAAGAGGGATGTCTGCCATGTATAGATTGAACAATACAGGGCCCAAAATTGAACCTTGTGGAACTCCTGCATTGACTTGCCGTATAGATGATTTGGAAGAACTTATTTTAACAGATAAGGTCCTGTGACAGAGAAACGATTTTACAATATTGGTTAAATATTTTGGAAATCCAAAATTAATCAATTTAAAGACAAGACCGTCATGCCATACCTTATCAAATGCCTGAGATATGTCAAGAAATGCCGTTACTGTGTGCTGTTTCCTCTCAAACCCTTTGACTATCGTTTCATATATTCGTAAGATTTGATGTGGGGGCGAATGTTTTGGCCGAAATCCAAATTGATGAGCAGGAATTATATTTGCAGCATCCATGTAACAGGCAATTCGTTTCAAGATGATTTTTTCAAAAACTTTAGAAAGTGTAGAAAGTAAGCTGATTGGACGGTAACTCGATGGAGAAGACTTTGGTTTATTGGGTTTATGAATAACTGATATTTCCGCATGCTTCCAAATAGAAGGGAAGTAAGATTTAGACAAACATGCATTAATAATTGATGTGAAATATGAAAAGCCCTTATTGGTGAGATTTCGCAAAATAATATTAGGAATGAGGTCATGGCCAGGTGATTTACGGAGTGGAAGTTTTTTAATTACTGCTTTAATTTCAGATAAAGAAATTGGGTAGAAGTAAAGAGACACCTTCATTTTGTTTAGGCCTACCCTTTGTTGATTCAGAATCTTGATAAATACAAGTTTCACTCCAGAGTACATGCACACAGGCTATTGAGAAGGTTTGTGATTGTACTTTTGGAAATTCATATTTATTGAAATTAGTTGTGATATTTTACTTTAAATTGACATATGCACATAGATTGATTAGTTTTAACATATTATTGAGTGAAAAGTGAGCAGATATTAGACCGTAGTGGTAAGGGTGAGATGCCAAATTTACACCAGAGTTTACAACAACGTGTTTAATACTTTTTATTCTATCAAGCTTTAGTTAGAAATGAGCAATTCACAAAAGATTAGTGGAATACTTAATCTCATCTCAAAATGTTGAAAATTTATACTTAATGATATTTATTTATAAATTTGCAAAACTTGTAAAGAGGAGAAAGTAGATACCGTAGTAGTTAACCCAGCATTTAACAGATTTAAAAATAATCATTGAAATACGGTGAACAAGCTTAAAGTATTAAACAATAATTAGACCAAAAATTCAAGTAATCTTTAGTAAGCATTTAGTTTAGTTATAGCATAGGTTTATAGGTCAAAAACGCCTATATCTGGAAAAAAAAATATTAAGAATCACTTAACATTCATGCACATCAGTTCATGGTGCACATGGTGGTGTATATACATTTGTGCATGGTGTGCTTGGATAATAATAGCTGATTTAATGTTTTTACCACATTTCACTAACCATTGGAAATACAGAATATGGTTTGAACAAAATTAAGAGAACACACAACAATACATTATTTTAGCCATTGTAACATTTGTTCTACCTCCAACAGTTATTGAGAAATTAATATTTCAACAATACCCGGATTTTGTTTAATGACACTTCATTATTCAATCAATCTTAACAAATTCATTGTTCTTTGCCGTATGTATTTTTTCTTTTGTTTGTGAACAAATAGCTACCGGTACAGTGTTTGTAAAATTAATTAGCCACTGGATTAGTGTTTCTTTTTAACCGACTTCCCCACTACCAACAAAAGGAGGAGGTTCTCAATTTGTTTGTGGCGATGTTTTTTTTTTCTATGTATGTTCACCAATTTCTCTGTGATTCTTTTACCGATCAGTGTGGTTCCACCACCAAAATAACCAGGAGAGCTTCTATTTGGTACCTTATATATTATGTTTAAGTATAATATTTGTTTCGGTGAAAAATTCTGAAAACCTTAAATATTCAACATTTATTTTGTTTACATTTGTGCAGATTGTTTACATTTGTGCAGAGAAGGCAATAAATAATAATAACATTCCTACAGCTGTTAGTTGAAACCATTTAAATGAAGCTACAGACAATTCTTCATGAAACAGTTGCTTCATATTGAATAAACTATTTCTTTCCATGGAGCCTAAATGAATTACATTGAGAAAAATACATTTTGTTTTGGTTACTATAAAAAATGTATTTTAACGTTTGACCTGATTTGTGTATACAGTAATTCTGTTTTTAGTATTGAATATTCTGACATACAAAAACATATATGTTTCAGTGAATAGCTGTATGATATTGACAAATAAAGGTGTATTGTGAAAACCAAATCATTCGTAAATCAGGTCTAAATATAAATTAAATGCAATTATTCCTTACACGACCTAAGAAGTGTGACAGTGCATAATAGTCAATTGCCTTAAAAGTGTTAAATATTTTAATTACTAAACATGCATTTGCAGATGTGGAATGTTTATTGATATTCTCTACCCAGTTACTATATCATATCAATACTATTATGCCTGCTTCGGAAAGTCCTAGAGGAAGATGATTTTCAATTTCGACTAGGCTATATCTTGATCAAACAAAACCACCTACATGGCTTGCACCACATTTAGCTGAACCAATCTTTCATATACATATTTCATTTGCAGATGTGGAATGTTTATCAATATTCTCTACCCAGTTACTATAACATATCAATACTATTATGCCTGCTTCGGAATGTCCTAGAGGAAGATGATTTGCAATTTCGACTAGGCTATATATTGAGCAAACAAAACCCCCTACATGACTTACACCACTTTTAGCTGAACCAATCTTTCATATAATATTTTCCAAAGGTACTATACGTGTTAACGATCAATTTTTCACTTTTGGGAGATTTTTTAGTGCTGGTAGCTGAGGAATAACTTTCATATTGTTCCAAAAGGCTTGAGACGTTACTGTACTTATTTTTATAATGTATAGAATTACACCGATTGCAGGAAACGATGGTGTCTGACATTTCAATGTATCTAGAAAAGACAATTAGTTTTTCATTAGGCCTAATGTAATGGACAACTCTTTCTTTCTTAAGGAATATCTAAAAATGTTTATTTTCATACCCATTGATTATGTAACCTGAACAGGTGACTCAAGCAGTTTTAAAATAATGATTGTTCTGTGGAACTTTTGATTGTTTCAAACAGTTTTGCTTATCAAAAAACCTCAAGTAATTAATATACAAAAAATTATACAGTCACTAAAAATCATGAAATAATTTATTTTTGTAAAAAAATACAACCGACTTCAAACGCTCTAAAAAGAATGAAATAATTTCAATAAAGTAAACTTTTGTATTAGGCAAGCTCACGTGTTTCAAGTCGGCGCGGCTCAAACTGCAAATATGATTGAAATTAAATATTGTGTGTGTATTTTGAAAATCAATCAATTGTAGCTGGATAACATAAATATATAAAAAACATACTGAACTGTTTTGTTTATATATTAAAGGAAATATTTTCTTGTATTTTATGTTTACTTCAGAATAAATGCATTATGAAAATAACACACACAAATGTTCTATATGAATAGAAAAATAATTTAGTTTGATATTGTGATAGGGAAAAGAAGCTAGTTTAGTATTAAAACGTTACTTTTCCAAGTTAGAAACATCTAAATGCGTTATAATCTTTTTAAAGATACTCGTTAATACCACTATAATGCCGATCTCTGATTACGGTAATAAAATAACACTTAACGCATAACTATGAAAAAGACATGCAGATTAACACCTTTAGTTATAGATAGTCACCTGCAATATGGACACCCTATTTCAATTTTGTATCAAAAATCATCATAGAGCCGCGCCGACTTAAAATACTTGAGCTTGCCTAATACAAAAGTTTACTTTATTGAAATTATTTCATTCTTTTTAGAGCGTTTGAAGTCGGTTGTATTTTTTTACAAAAATAAATTATTACTTTTAGCTTTTCATAAGTAAAATGGTACTTTGTAGTCAAACCTTTCTCATCTAACAGTATAAGAGAAAAAAATAAAGATCATACTATATTACTACAGATTTTTAACACTTAAATCACAAAAGCATATTACTATTGAATATTATAATTTCAAACAAAACCAATAACAATTACAAAAACAACATATTCCATATATATAGTTTTTCTTTTCTTATTTTACCATCAATAAATTTTGTTAATGGTTATCTCATCTGCACCAAAGCTACTTAATTAAAATTCAAAAATATTTGATCAGGAGATGTTTCATCTGATGTAAGACAGATGAAACAAATTCACTGGTACATCACTTATTCTTTAGGCTTACTTTTATCTTGGAGTTTTGTTTGAAATGCTAGACCACATGTTCCCAATAGCAGTCTAAACAGTTTCCACTCTCTGAGTCAGTGTTTTGTACCAGATTTTCTTAACATGAACCACTTTATTTCCTTCAGAATTTGATTCAAAATTGACTGTAAAGTGGTCTCCTGTCACCCAAAGGGAAAAGCCAAAAGATGGATGCATTGCTACATGAGTGGAAGAGCATGACAATTTAAAGTTGATCAAATAGTTGGAGTTTGGCAGCAACCGGACATACTCGTTCTCTATAAGGAGTGGAACAAGGCAAGAGGAATCTTTGTTGAGCTGTCCTTGAAATTCAACAATATCTGGTGGTTCACCCTCTCGTCTCACAGATATAGTGCATTTGCACTGATGAGCTTCCATCTCTGAACTGTCAAGTTCTACAGAGCACAGTTCTATTCCCGCTTTCTCAATTCTGAGTTTGAATTTTGAGTCTGAACTGTTTCCATGGGCACTTCCGCAGCGTAGAGATAGTTCAGTCAACTCTGATTGAACAAAAGGGCAAACCCTTTTCATTACTTTGTTGCAAACCGTTTTCAAGTTAGGATGTGCTTTTCTTGTTTTACGAGTTTCGCCAATAAATTTCAGTTCTCTACGTGTGAGTACTTCTTTGGTTAGCACTTCAGTCAATATTTCTTCATCAGACATAGAACAAACTCGAATGTGTTTTAGGTGCTCATTCAGTTCACTTCTCAAAACGTTCCCATCCTCTGATCCTCCTGAAATAAAGAAAAGTTTTGAAACAACAAGGGTCTGTACGGTACTTTAAAAACTTAAACTGAATCACATGATAGTCCCCACAACTCAATCCCATAGTATATAATTAAAAAAAAGGATAGTGAATATTAGTTCTAGTTTTAAGGTCTGTAATTATGTAGAACTAGCATTTGATAACAGGCTGAATGTCATTTACTAATAATATTATCTATACAGTTAGTCCAAGAAAAATTAATAGCCAGTTCCAAACTAAGGGATTTTGCAGTGCCAAAATTCTTTTCAGTGTTCGGTATCAGCTGGTACTGAAGGATGATTTCTGAATTGTAATTCTTCTTTAGACTGTGCATTAGGAAAATTTTATATTTGAGTTGTATTTTGATTAAGTTTTAGTCCATTAGCTTCAAACCAGCTGGTGAATTCAAAGAAAGTATGATCCAAAGTGAAATGGAGAATAAAATTAACACTTTGGGACTTCGATCATTGCAGTTGTATCGTCTGAATTTAAGATAGTTAATTGTTGAATTGTTGATGAAACATTTCTAGGTAATCATTTATATATACTTTGAGCAAAGGTCCTAAGATAGACCCTTATGAAACACCAATTTTAATATTCTCCCAAGGATACTTTGATATTAAATAATTTTCAAAATTACAGTTCTTTGAAACCGGTTTTCTAAGTATGATTTAATCCATGTAATTGATTGTTTTGAAAAGTGGAACATATATCAAGCTTTTTTATGCTGTGGTTAACACAATACAAGACCATGGAAAGGTCACAGTCAACAAGTTGTTTAACCAAGATTCAGAATCATCTGATTTTGATGGAATTTCGTACTAACTTGAAATCTATGTTTATTTTATAATAAGACTATGGGAAAGGGGTTTTATGGGGTAAAAATTGGATTATCCTATTTTTGACCATGAGGTCAAACATAAAATTTCACAATATCTTTCCAAACCATTTTGTAGAGCTAAAAAACAAACAAATAACTTAGTAAATTAAATCTGTGTTGTACGCTGAAAGTTTACATAGGAAATTTCAAAAACTGTAAAATTAACATAGCCATTTTATTGGTAATTTGAGGGATTATTACAGACATTTTAAACCATGATTAGTAAAAAAGATTTATCATTGTGTTTCAGGATCTAGAATCTGACCCAACCCACCATATCATAGAGATAGAGTGATAGAGTAACTAAAACCATAGACAAATAGAATAAATATAGACCGACAGCAGAGCTGCGGTTAGCATATGTTCTGGCCTTCACCGCTAGGAGTGTCATATAGTTACAGCGCACACTGCTGCAGCATCTGCTGGTAGCATATGGCTCCTCACCTGCAGGGGTGTGCTCCTCACCTGCCAGGGGTGTGCGCCGTAACTATGGCACTCCTAGCGATGGACGCCACAACCGCAGCACCGCTGTCGGTCTATTAATTATTCTATTTTGAGTAATATTAACTAGCTAGTGTACCTGTTGCTCGAATTTGAGCAATTTTTTAGTATTACAGGCGTTATTTTAAAACGAATAACAGTCATAATTTCTGATGACTTAAAAGATTTGACTCAAAGATTATGGAAATACTCAAGATGTACAAAAAACAGATTGATATAATCAACATTTCTTGTAAATATCTTATCATTTTTTAAAAGCTGATTTTTTTCTCATAGCCCGTTTTTTTTTTTTTAAGGGAGAGGAGGGAAAATGCCCCATTAGATTGTCCATAATAACGATTAGAAATTTAAAAAAAAACAACAACATTATTTCTATTTCTTCTCCTTTGTGGTGTTGATCTATGACTTTCCTATGTTTCCATAGTTTGCAAATCAGCTCTTTCAATAATTACTAAGAAATGCAGCAGTGTTCATTCAATTTCTGTTTAGTACGTTATATCAAATTATCAAGGCTCTCTCGCTTTTTTCCAATGTAATATTAACGCCAACCCAAATTCAAACAGTAAATATTTTATTTCAACCAAGTCAGTAAATAATGTTTGTAGCAAACTAGCAAACTTATTTACTACTAGCTGGCCCGACAGACGTCATCCTGTCCTAATGTGGTTTTATGTCAAAATTCATTTCCAAGATGTGTTCGTTCGCATGGCTCAATCACGTCCTGGTTAAAGTTCGTTCGCTACGCTAACTCGCCTCCAGGTCGAAGTTCGTTCGCTACGCTAACTCGCCTCCAGGTCGAAGTTCGTTCGCTACGCTCACTCACCTTTTGGTTGCGCTGTTGTCATAATTTAAAAAAAGTAATAGTGCTGTACCCTTTTGGTAAACCTATTAACTTTTTAATGCTATTGAACATCACAGAATCAAATTGTTTAGTTGAACGGTTGAATCAGCTGTTAAGATTCTTTAATTCCATTTAAATATGAGTACTCATAAGGTTAACATGGGAAACTCCAGAGCCACTGGGGCGGAGCCCTTTTGACGGATCTGCACCAAACTTCACACAAACCATTCTTGAATAATGCTTAATAATGTCTGAAAGTTTCATTACAATCTGTCGAGCGGTTTTGGAGTTTATAAAGGACAAACAAACAAACAAACATACATTGGATTTGATATATATAGATTTACAATAAACATATGTTCTTCTTCTCACTTTTAATTTCTGACAACAGCTGGAGTTTCATAACAATGTTTGTTCCCATGTTAATCTTATGGAGAAATAGGACATGGCCTCATTCTCTAATTATTTCCCACGTTACCCTCTTTCCAATGACACCAAAAACATGTCAATTGGTTCAGTAGTTTCGGAGGAGTAATTGTCACAACAAACCTGCTTGAGTATCAAATAAGTAATAGATAGATAATAATCGTTCCATGATTGTAGTTTTTTCTGTTTCTGATTTATAGCTTTAAATATATAGACTAAGTATATGTGCAATATATGTATATATATATATATATATGTATGCATATACATGTTCAAATATATGTACATTTTATTAAACTACCCTGAGAATTTGGTTTAAAATTGTTTTTGTTCATTTTGAAATATTATTAACACAAAACAGTCTGTACATATTACATAATTACCTCGATTCTTGGCCCAATCAATGGCAGACCTCCAGAGCTCAATCTCAGCCACATTACAAATCTCCTGTTCCAAAATTTTTAAGAAACCATTTGGGGAGAGATCAGGGAAGCAAGGACTAGTTAACACTTGGTTTGTCTCTGTCTGTAGAATCTATAAAGAAATATTTGATTGACATCATCATCACACAGTCCAATTGCCAAAACTAACTACTAAAGGTTATTCAATACAGGCCCGTTTTTGACCCCCGCAATCGACGCCAACCTTGCCACTGTCGTGCTCCAAAGTTGCAAATTTTTCCCAAATGGTCGTGACGCCAAATCGAGGGACAGACTTATTTTGTCATGGTAGTCAGTTTGCAATGATAATAAAATTATAATATGCTCCTTTTTTGTAAGTTTAATAACTATTGATGACATTAAAATATGGCTTTATATATTTCGGCATTAATAATTAGTCTACAAACAGCGTGAAAGTTGGAAAATGTACCCTAGGGACACGTCATGGCCGAATTTCGAGACTTTAAAAATGCGAAAAAAATACCTAGAACCTATTTAAAACCAAATAAATGTGTGTAACATGTTGCCCCCGTCCCAAGAAATATTGAAACACATAATAATAAACTACAAATCCAGTATCTACGAAGTAAAAGGCCAGGGACGTAAAAGGTCTATGGAAAACGTACGTTTTTAAATTTTCACTCAGTAGCGCCCCTTTGCAATATATATACACACAAATAAATAATACCACACGCTTCAAAAACTTTTGTTTTTTAAGCCTGAGTTTATTGTTCATTTTGGACAGCTATAACTAATTGCGAAATTGAATAGGTATCAATCCCAAAAGTTAAGAATCTATTGCTATTATAGTGATGTTTATTCTGTATGAAATAATATCAACACTATATGAACGAATATTTAGATAAGTTTTATTGACAAACGAATTAAGTTGTGTGTGGAATCATAACATAATCAAAACTGAACATTTGTACAAAAACAAGCAACAGCTGTTACACAACAAATATGAAAACAAAGCATAGACCAAAGGCAACACAGCTGTGGCTAAGTTGACGCCACATCAGCCCCCCGCAGAGACTGGAAGTCCAGGAAGCTTGAGCTTAACATTTCGTCCATACCGAGTTGGGTGATTACACTTTTCGGGTAACATATATGCAGGCTTCACCCTGTCTAAGCTCACTCGCACTTGTTTGCCATTCTGTGATATTACTACGGATTTTTCATCACGAGAAATTACAGGATATGGTCCGTTGTAGGAAGCTGTAGAGCACGTTTCACAGAGTCGTCTCTTAGGAAAATATCGGTGCACTTTCTAAGATCCTGATATATAAAAGTTTTGGGTTTGACGTGGCGTGAAGCTTGGACAGGTTTGATTGAAGACATGTGTTGACGGAGCCGTACTACATAATCAGTAGGATCTTCATGCCTGGGTCCGTCAACAGAGAGATCAAACAATTCTCCTGGAAGTCTCAACTGTTGTCCGAAAACAATTTCTGCCGTTGATGCTTGAATATCCTCGCGGTACGCACTTCTTATACCTAGGAGGACAATCGGAAGAGCTTCCAGCCAGGATGAATCGTGATGACACATCAGTGAAGCTTTCAGATGACGATGGAATCTCTCCACCAATCCATTTGCACAGGGATGGTAACTGCAAGTCCTGATTCTTTCAGAGCCGAAAGTTCTTCCAAGGGACTTGAAAAGGGATGATTTGAATTGGCGGCCTTGATCAGTAGTTATTCTTGAAGGAGCGCCATAACGAGAAAACCAGCACGAGACTAGACCTTCGGCGACTTCTTCTGCAGTAATCCCCTTTAAAGGATGAACCTCAGGCCACCTAGTGTAACGGTCTATGACTGTAAGACAGTATTTGTATGGTCCTGCTGGTGGTAAAGGCCCAATTATGTCAACATGGATGTGCTCAAAACGTGATGATGGCAAAGAAAATGTTCCAAGAGGAGCATGAACGTGTCGTGTTACCTTGCAACGTTGGCATCGCTCACAAGTACGAGCCCAGTTACGACAATCTTTTTGAATACTTGGCCAGACAAATCGATCCGCTACAAGTTTTGCAGTAGCTTTAATGCCTGGGTGGCTGAGGTCATGTAGCGAATGAAATACCCTCTTCCATAGTTCAACTGGAATATAAGGTCTTTGGGTCTTTGTGGAAGTGTCACAAAAGATGAATGAGTTTGTTCCAGGGATTTGGATCTTCTGAATTTTGAGAGATGAATTGTTGTTGTTTATGAGGTTGATGAGTTCGTCATCTGAGCTTTGTGCTTTGGCAATTGACTCAGGATCCAATGAACATGAAATAGCCTCTACACGTGATAAAGCATCGGCAACAATGTTTTCTGAACCTCCGATGTGTTTTATATCTGTAGAAAACTCGGATATGAATGAAAGCTGACGTAGTTGAACAGGTGGAAGTTTCTCACGACGTTGATGAAAAGCAAAGATCAGTGGCTTATGATCCGTAAAAATGGTAAATGCCGTGGTTTCCAAAAAATGACGAAAATGCTGTACTGCTTCATACACAGCAAGAAGTTCACGGTAGTACGCCGGCCAAGAGCTTTGCTTTGCTGAAAGTTTCTTAGAGAAGAATCCAAGTGGCTGCCAGGAATTTTCAACAAATTGTTGAAGGCAAGCTCCTACACTAACGTCAGAGGGGTCTGTAAACAGTCCAAGAGGGGCGTCATGTTTCGGATGAAATAGGAGTGTCACCGACGACAAGCTAGACTTGCAAGCTTGAAACGCTGCCTCAGTCTCTGGGGTCCAAGGCACAGGAAGTGATCCCTTGCTATTTGCACCACCAAGCAGAGAGTGTAAAGGTGCTTGGAGTTCCGCGGCTTTAGGTAAGAATCTACGATAGAAATTGATCATACCTAGGAACCGTCGAAGACCCCGCATTGTCTTAGGTAGTTGGTACTCCTGATGAGCAGATATTCGGTCTTGTGGAGGGTAGAGACCTGATGCTGAAACTTTGTACCCTAAAAACGTCACTTCGGGCATTGCAAAAACACACTTGGACGAGTTTACAATAACACCATAGGAATGGAGTCTTTTGAACAAAGTCCTAAGATGTTGCTCATGCTCTTCAATTGATCAGGAAAACACTAAAATATCATCAATGTAGCTGAACGTAAAATCTAGGTTTTGGGTTAATTCATCTATGAAACGCTGGAATGTTTGGCCAGCATTACGTAACCCAAAAGTCATGAATGGAAACTCGAAAAGGCCGAATGGAGTTGTGATATCAGTTTTGCATATGTCATCTGGGTGTACAGGGATTTGTTTGTATGCTTTTACTAGATCTATGACAGATAATACGTTACAGCCTGAAAGATTATTTGAAAAATCATGAATGTGTCGAACAGGATACCTGTCAGGAGTGGTGTGTGCGTTCAATGCACGGTAGTCTCCACACGGTCTCCATCCATTTTCTCCTTTTGGCGCCAGATGCAGGGGTGAAGCCCACGGACTGTCTGATGGACGTGCAGTACCACATTTTACCATGTCGGCAAATTCACTCTTTGCAATGCTGAGCTTTTCAGGAGCCAGTCGTCGTGGTCGGCAGAATACAGGAGGTCCTGGAGTCGTGTGTACATGATGTACTGTCTGGTGCTTCACCTCTCGAGGCAATCCTGGAGGGCGAGTAATTTCAGGGAATTCATGCAAGATTTTAGAGAGGGGAGAAGTAGTGACTACGGATTTTACGCTACTTTGAGTCGTAACGGAAAGTTGTCCTCCTGTAACAAGTCCAGTTGTGGCATCGTGAAGTCGCAACAATCGACAGTCAGGAAGCAAATGGTAGTAACTGAGGAAGTCTGAGCCAATGATTGGAACACTGACATCTGCAACTGTGAACTGCCATGCAAAACTACGGCAAAGGCCTAGGTCCAATGTCATAGAACAGGTTCCGTAAGTCTTGATAGTACTACCGTTGGCGGCACTTAGTTCAAAGTCTGTAGATGTGCGACGGTCTCGTAGAAGACGTTTGGGATAACATGATACGTCAGAGCCGGTGTCGATCAAGAACCGGAGATTCGACTTTTGATCCGAGACAAAAATTCTGCGGCTGGGTGCTTGACAGTCAGTCGCCGCTGTTACTGGCCGTCCTTGGAGTTTCCCGCGTAAGAACAAGGAGAAGTACATTTTGACGCGTGCTCACCAAATTTGGCATGATACCAGCAGATATGGCTTGTAGATTTGTGCTGATCTTGATTTGCGTATTTTGATGTATTCTTGTTATGATTGGTCGAACGATCGTGCCGGAGGGATACTTCGAGTGCGCCAATCCTCTGCGCCAGTCTTGCAATAGCAGCAGTGAGGTCGTCACTTGACTTTGTGTGTTCACGAGTTGCCGTAGCATTTACTGATACTTGTGGTGAAACCTCAATGATTTTATCCGCTATATCCGCAAGTTTATCAAGTGGAAGTTCATTTTGAGCTGTGAGAATCGCTTGAATGTTAACAGGGAGACGACGTAGCCAGAGTGCTCAAAGGATGTTGTCCTGTAGTTGAGCTGGACCGAGCAGAGAACGTAGGTGGCGTAAGAACTGCGATGGCTTGCGATCTCCGATATCTTTGTCACTTATCAACTGGCGAACACATTCTTCTTCACTATTAGACAGCCTCTCAATTAGCTTCGAACGAAGTACTGCGTAGCGATTCGTTGCAGGCGGATTTGTGATTATGTCCTCTACTTCCACTGCGTAACGTGTTTCAAGCTGAGAAACGACGTAATGAAACCGAGTGTCATCATTTGTGATGCCTGAGATGGCGAACTGGGAATCTACCTGAGCAAACCATAGACTAGGTCGATCGGCCCAGAATGGTGGAAGCTTTACTGCTACTCGACTAACTGATACATTACCAGGTTCGTTGCGTTGCTGAACGTTGGTCGAAAGTTCATTTTGATGCTTTCGTAGATTCGCCAATTGAGCTTCGATTTCTTCTAGCGATATTGGTAATATTGATGTAGGAATGTCGTGCTTCTTGTTGTCGTTATTCGGGGTCACCAATATAGTGATGTTTATTCTGTATGAAATAATATCAACACTATATGAACGAATATTTAGATAAGTTTTATTGACAAACGAATTAAGTTGTGTGTGGAATCATAACATAATCAAAACTGAACATTTGTACAAAAACAAGCAACAGCTGTTACACAACAAATATGAAAACAAAGCATAGACCAAAGGCAACACAGCTGTGGCTAAGTTGACGCCACACTATCAAGAACTGTTGTAATAGTTTACATATGTTAGAATTAACATCTGTTTGCTTGTTTACTTCATTCATTGTAATTTTATGTCAGTTACATTTTTTTAGTAATACTAGCAACCTGCGTCACTTCGTGACTTCAAAATCCGTATTATATTTGATATATAGTTGATAAGGGTGAAAACAATTATTTTTCATCCCCTATTATTTGCATTGCGCTGTATTATTTTCATTGTGTGCAAAATCTCTTCTAGGTATCTTAGAAAAATTACAAATACTGATGAAACATACTATGAAAACGTAATTTTCTTCTTTACATTTTATACGAATAACTTTACAACTATTTTGATTAAATTCACTGAAACATCACCAACTACAGATAACCCCATTTTTGTATGGCTGTAAACAAAATTGTATCATGGACATCTGTTTTGATGTAAACAAATGTAAACTTGAAAAAGTTCAGATGATTGACAACAGAATTCAGCACAAACTAAAACTATGAAATTTTAAAAGCCTATAGGTCGAAGGGCCTTCATGGGATAGGTACCTATAATCCAAACCCACAAAAGGCACATCTAGACTCTAGAGAGTAGAGCTTTAAATTGATACCCAATATGCCTATAAAAGTAAATATTTAGGGGTTGATTTTCTGCACAAAAAATTCCAAAAAATTCTTTTAATAAAATAGATACTTTTTTCATCGTCTAATGAATTGCCAATAATTAATCTGAATTAATTATTGTTGGTTCAAAGATTTAAACAAGAACTGATACATTTCTGTATCGAATTATCAACGATAGCGATATTGATTACTGGTAAGATACTAACCTCAGTGATAGCAGATTTCAGCTGCAACTCATTGTAGCAAGCAGGATTGTTGAGTAGACTACAAATGTTATTGTAGTCCAACATAGATATTAGACGAGTTGCCAATCTGTTTTTCAAATTACGCATCATGTATTTGTCAGCGACATACAACAGGTTATCTGCGTCATTAAAACTCAACATCTGGGTAATATCATGGCCATAAACAAATCTGAAAACATTATAAAAACAGAGCAGTAGTTATTTGTGTAACTAGTGTGCGAATTGGCGCTTTGCTACATATGAGAGAAATGTTTACGCACAAGCCGCAGGCAAGTGTGGCACGGATGTGGAATTTTCTAGAAAAACATAAAATAATTTTCAAAAACCAACATGGATTCTTAAAAGGTAAATCCACCACATCAGCAATGTATAACTTTATAACTGAGGTGATACAAGAACTAGACAAAGGTAAGTATTCGGCTGGTCTCTTCTTCGATTTAAGTAAAGCCTTTGATATGGTTGATCATGGTTTGCTGCTTAATAGAATGTATGAAGTGGGGGTGAGAGGACTGGCTCTGGACTGGGTTGAAGCGTATCTTTGCGGCAGGAGCCAATTTGTTGAAATAAGGGCAATAGATGAAGCTGGTTGCATGAGATCCTATCCCTCTGCTGAGAAATCCATTGTGAGAGGTGTACCACAGGGCTCCGTTCTGGGGCCTGTCCTTTTCCTCCTTTTCATCAACAACATCCCCTCCTGCACCACATCCTCAAAATTATCACTATTTGCTGACGATACCTCCCTTTCCATATCTAGCTCCACTTTGTACAATCTGGAACAATTATCTTTTTCTGAAGCAAATAATTTAATTCAATGGTTTGACGACAACTTATTAAAAATTAACACTGAAAAAACTCAGCTTATAAATTTCCATTTAAATAAGAGACGAGATGTTGGGTTTAGTCTCCTCCTGGACGAGACTGAGGTCCACCCAACTGCAAATGTAAATTTTTTAGGGTTGATCCTGGACGAGAGACTTAGTTTTTGCAGCCATGCCAAACACATTTCAAGTAAACTCAGTTCTGAAATTTTTGTTTTACGCAATCTCAGAAACAATGAAAATCTCAATGTGCTGCTGACAGCTTACTATGGTCTCATTTATCCTCATCTGGCATATGCTGTTGCAATTTGGGGATTTGAGAGCAAACAAACCAAATTTATTTTCAAAATCCAAAAGATGACTGTGAGAACTATTTTCTCCTTGCATAGGCGTCAATCCTGCAGAGAGTACTTTTTCAATTCAAAAATCTTGACTTTTCCCTCCATCTACATTCTAGAAACTTTGACCTTTTTGAAACAAAACATTCCTGAATTTGACTTCTCTACTAAAAATCAATACACATTGCGCAATTCATTTAACTTGCCAATTCCTAAACACAAAACTTCTTTTTTCAAAAAACACACAATGTACATTGGCATAAAGCTTTTCAACTCACTTCCATTATCCCTTAAGTTGGAACCAAGCCTTTCAAAATTCAAAAAACAATTAAAACATAAATTGATAGTAAGTATAACCTGTTATAGCGTCCAAGAATTCCTGAAATGTTTTGAAAGCTCTAATTTGTAATTATTATTGTAAATATTAGAAATATTAGTAATTGATGTATAGTATATTTGTATTGACCTGGCTAATGCAAACTGTATACGGTAATTGTTAATTTGGCCCAATAAAATGATTTGATTTGATTTGAAGTATGGAAAGTTTCTCGGGTGCAGCAAAGGCACTTTGCACTCTCGTTATACATTATATTTTTCCTATAGTTACTATAAAGCACATAAGTAATTAATCTTTCAAACACTATACAACACATTTTTAGGTTTAGGTTAAATCCAAGCGTTGAACGAAATGGGAAACGCATTTCGTAGTTAGTATCTTTAAGTATCGCCAACTCATTTTAAAGCGTAGACATCGCGACACACTTTTCTCACACTGGAAAAAATATCTGTCCCAGACTGTCCTGAAGTTCCAGGATATCCCAGGCTTATCGGTATACTGATAAGCCGGGTCAAAGGGCGCTTGGTTGCTTGGTTGCTTGGATTTTGGTTGGAGCTTGGTTGCGACGCTTGCTTACCTCGACAATGGGTGCGCGGCCAAATAGCAAATATTTCCCCCCCCTAGGAAAAAGACTCGTTACAACATATTACAGCCTAATAAAAGCACACTGATTTGTGTTGTTTGGTTGTTTGGTGATTCTGGAGTGCGGCAAAAGTAAAATGAGTAAGTAAATGAAGCAATTATAGCTACTTTGCTATAATATAATCAGTGCAAGGAAGACCACTTTGTCAGCTAAATGTAGGAAAATAAATTTAAAACTACTTTTCTTTCAAATAGACAATTACAAAAGTGTGATGTAACTTGAACAAAAATATAAAAAATCAAAACTGCATGAGATTAGATTCAAACAACAGAAACTACCAATGTGCTTATTTGGAAAGGTGAGTGAAGAATGAGTGTCAAATGAATAAGAAGACATCCTTGCTACTGACCAAGAACAGCTGGCTTTTAAGACATTCATCCCCAATAATCATGGTAGGCTGGGTCCAGTTTCTAACCATCAAAAGAGCTTCTGCATTTTTTCTTAGGTCAATTCTGCAACTTTACCAGGCAAACTATATCCAACTAGCTGCATGTATTTTTCAATAGAAATCAAGCTAAATAATGGTCAATAGAGCAGGGCTGTAGAAAAAGTGGATTGGAAAAGACGGTTATCAGATTATTTAACGCTACAACACAAGGACTGCTGATAATCGCCAGTGTTTAGTATCATGATTGGTTATTGTTTTATTTATGTTCTTAATATTAATAATATTGTACGTAAATAGTTTATCATATTCAAATGTCACATTTAAATCCAAACGCTCTTTCTGCTAGGGTCACTTGTCGGCTTTTAGCGCAGAGTCATTGATTGATTGATTGATTGATTCTGTAGGGGAGGACCTTATCCTGTTGCATGTCAGCCACTGATGGGCTTTTTGCGCTCCCCACATGATACTTCAGAGTCTGTAAAACCTGAGTTACTTAATGAACTTCAGCATCCTGTCTATGAGCTCCTCCTGAGGAAGGTGTCTGCCCCTTGTCATTGCACCAAGAGTACTGTCCCTTACCTCATTCAGAGCTGTGCAGTCGTAAAGTAGGTGATCAGCAGTCTCCTCTGATTGCCCACATTTCCTACATGCAGTGTCTCCATTGTGGATCCTCAAGCGATGCAGGTGCAATTTAAGGAAGCCATGGCCAGTGACAATTCCTGTGATCTGTCTGAGATGCACAGAGTCATAAATCTCGTCCTTCTGCGAAAGGACGGGCCCTTCCTTGACCAGTTCTTCAAATGTTGTAATTCCAATCTGGGTCCAGGGAGATGTCTTTTGTCATTGCATTGACGAGCATCACATCGTCAACTTAGCATAGCTTCATATATAGAACGTGAGAGGCAGATCCCTCAACGTATCTCACTTTTAGTATTAGTTAACATTTAGTTACAACCGCATTAGTTTCCTTATAGCAATTTATTTCACCACAAATCAGTTACAGAGTTCACTAATATTTTTTTTTTTATTTCTACATCAATAAAATCATAGTTCATTTAAAAGTATTAGTTTTTTATTATTACCAAAACATTGGCGCACATCACGCGCCCCAACAGCCAATGATGTAGAAGAAAGACTGGGGGGGGGGGGTGTTGCAGCTGGATAATCCCTGCCTAGTTACTTCACAGAAATATTTAGGATTCTGATCCTACTGAAATCAATTGATCTTATGCTTTTTGCTAGAATACCAAATTTGAGTATGAATACTTCGAAACATGAATCGATATTATACAGCATTTCAAAATGTCCAATTTTGGTCATTCATCCTAGGTACTGTGTTTAAAGCTTATTAGGCCTACGTCTTAAAACAGTAAACTGGGTTTTTTTAATGAAGGTAAAACAGAAATAAGTTTTGCATTTCAATTAATTGGCTTGTAGCTATAGTACCCCATTTCTCCAAATAGTTTTACTCACCTCATAAAGTTTTTGAAAGTTCTAGGAAACACATCAAGGAGCTTGACATCGCCCTTTTCAGCTATCTTAGAATCTTGCAATAATAATCTTAAAACTTTACTGTGAGCCAATAACATTTTCTTCACAACACCAATCCTCTCCTTGAAAACAAGACAAGATAAATTAAAACTAATATTCAACTGAAATTCAATAGCAAATCAAAAAGATGTACACAAAATCACATAATCTTCCTGCAAAAAACAATATATCAAATAGACCAATAGAACTATCAATAAACAGTTTAAAAAAAACCTGTACGCTAATTAAGGGCGTGCAATTGAAACTGGATAGTGGATGTAAACCTTTTTTGTAGCATTGGAATTAAATAAAAAAATTAAACAATATAAATACAAATCTCAACAACCTGCAACCCCAAACATCCCCAGAAATAAGTCAGTGAATTTAAACAACAAGGACATTGTGGCAAATATATTGGAGGAAAGAACATATTCTGTAAGAAGAAAGGCTAGTAAACAAGGTAACTCAAATAATTTAATTTTGTAGTTCTTGCCAGTGGGAAAATAAATAAAAGACCATCCTCAGACCGCTGACTGAAACGACTCTTGGATAATATTTTTAAATATCACCACTGATCTGGGCCGCTATCTACTGCTTCATGTTTTGACTACGTCCTCGTCCTCGTGGAGGTTCGCATGGCAACAGACCTACACAAACTATTCAGTATCTATATTATTAAAAGAATTTGTTGGATTTTTGTGTGCAGCTAATTGACCCCTAAATATTGATTTTTATATGCATATTGGGTATCAATGTAAAGCTCTTATCCTTTACATGTGCCTTTTGCTGGTTTGGATGATATCCCATGAAAACCCTTTGTCCTATAACAGGCTATAAAAATTTTTTAGTTTGTGCTGAATTTTGATGTCAATTGTCTGAACTTTTTCAATTTTACATCAAAACAGATGGTCATTAAACAATTTTGTTTACATCGATACGAAAAATTGAGTTATCTTACAGCTGTAAAGTAAAATATTGTATCTATCACTATATAATTAATAAGCTACATGAAACTTTGTCGGTTGAACTCCTCCGTCATTTCTTAACCGATTTTATCCATTGACGTCTCATTGGAAAGAGCGTGTCGCGTAGATTTGCAAACTGGCCTTACATTTTTTAAAAAGTCCCTTGGGCTCTGCCCCAGTGGCTTTGAAAGGTCCCATGTTATCCTTATGAAGAACATAATTGTTTACATTTTGATCAGCTGTATAATTAAATTGCTGTTATTTATTTTTCAATCCAATGAAACGCATTGAGTACATTTATTTACTATTTGAGTTTGTGTAAACATAACCCCGAAGACGGATGGGGTTAGTATGGTTGTAATTTAAATTTCTGTATTTATCGTTATTTTGTGTAGGTATGACGGACCGAGTTAGCGTGATTGTAACTTAAATTTGTGCATTTATCGTTGTTTTGTGTATCTATAATTTGTTTATTTGTTGTTTTTTTCTTTTAAATGCCTCCGACGTGACGACAACGAAACATAGACAGGAGGTGTAATCGTGATAACGACCACAGCTACAGAACAGTGGCGCGTAACAGGCTTAACTCATCACAGTAAGCACCTGACCCTGGACAATCCCCATGTAGCACAGATGGTTGGGCCAACGTTGGTAAATTGTGGAGCCACACAGTTGGCCAACGGTAGAAATGTCACCTCTTTAAACTGTTTTCCAGCCAACCTTTGTCCAACAATGGCCCAACCAAAATTATTTCACACAAAATAATAAAGATTTAGTACGAAAAGCATAATTATTAGTTGAGTAAATTGATTAAATAGTTCATAAAAACAAATTTTGAAAAAAAGCTGGAACAAAATTTTTTGGCCCAGACGGGTCTCGAACCCGGGTCCTTCGACTTATGAGCCTCTTACCTTACCACTGAGCTATCTGTGATTGTTGATACAGAGAGTTTTCAAGTGGTGAAAGAGTAGCCGACAGTTGCAATGGTCGCAATACTTCAAACATTTTTGATACTACACAGTATAATATGATTCTGTTAATCTGTTAAGGCATCATAAGTAGTTATTTTTTTTGAGTTAGAGAGGATACTGGTATTTGAATATAGATTAATTAATTACCGTTAGATTATTAATGCTATAATTGACTGTTATATGATTAATTACTCTTTCCCCTTAAATTGTTGCAAATAAGTTAAAGAATATTAATTTAAAAAATATTTGCATTATTATAATTATTAAAATTCATTGTTGTAGCCCCGGAACTGTAATATATAAAATATCTGGTTTTACAATACCTTTATCAGTTCCAAAAACTTGGTAAATTGATAAAGGTATTGTAAAACCAGATATTTTATTATAATTATGTTGTGAAAGCTAGACCCAGAGAATGAAAGTCGTGTAAACTCAACTATGGACCATCGTTGGTCCAACAAAAGTATCTTTTGTTGGTCCAACGGAGTGAAAGACGGTTGGACAACGGTTGGCTTGATGTATGATACCCAACAATGCATATTAATGTATTTTATTAACAATGAACCAATGTTGGTCCACAGTTGTAAATATTGGTTGGCCCAACTACGAGATATACAGTTGGACAACGGTTGGTTGGTTGTGGAAGCTCCAACCAACCATCGACCAACTGTCCCACAGTTGGCCAACGTTGGCCCAACCATCTGTGCTACATGGGCTCAACTATTAGATTACAAATCCGCCCTAACACTACCCCAAAACGACTTTTTGTTCTCAATTGGCCCTCTATCAATGATCTGTGTTGCCTGCACAGCGAGGCATTTTGAGAAGGAGCAAACCGGCCGGAATGCTTTAGGTTTATCAATTACGAAGATAAACATGGTCTGAGTTACGCACCGGTAATCTTTGAGTTCACTCTTTTAAACTCATTTTAAATATGACTGTGTTATTCGTTTTTAAATAACTCCTGTAATACTTTGCAATTGTTCGAATTCGAGCAACATGTACACTAGTTGTTATTATTTGTATAAAATGTAAATAAGAAAATGACTATTATTATTACTTTAGATTTTGTGTTTTCATAGTATACTAGTGTACCTGTTGCTCGAATTCAAAATTTGCAAAGAATTACAAACATTATTTTAAAACAAATAACAGTCATAATTTCCGATGACTTTAAAAGAGTCGACTCGAAGATTATGGAAATACTCACGATGAACATAACAGATCAATATAGGTACTCAACATTTCTTTTAAATATCTTATCATTTTTAAAAAGCTGGTCTTGTTTTTTTGTGTTTTCTACTATAGTATTTTCTATATTTAATACTATAATAGTTTTCTACTATAATAATTTTGTGCACAAAAATTGTCTGTACAACAATAGCTATACAAGTAATGTTTGTAGTGGTGTAGTATTGACCTTACGAAACACAAGTTTGAACTCTTTATCAATAGTCCTGCAGTGTTGATTTTTTGTCCTGTATGATGCATTTTTTTACAATTTGTATTTTTCTGGTTAAAAAACTTGTTAAATTTTTGAATTGAAATTTAATAGAATTCATCGGATTGATATAAGGTTGAATAAAACCGACGTCAAAACATATATGCATTTGAACGGAGGGTGTTTTTGGCCTCTAGAGATGTTTGAGGCCCAGCTGGGGACCTCAAAACAAAAAAGTAAATCGGTCCTGGGTCGAGGTCTTACCATGAGACCTACTGGAAAAGCTTATTCCTAATATGGGAAATTCGCTAATAAAATTGTCTGATGGATACAGTAGATAAAAGGATTAATGGAAATGTTGTAATTGTTGTCAAAATTTTACTTACTGTAGGTCCCAATTCTGGGTTTCCAACTATAAAGTAACAATTGTATTCTTCTTTAGGGTCAAAAAGGTAGACTATGTAATCAGGATCAGTGAGGGCAACCTCCACATAGAGGTTGGGTTCTTGAGCCATTCTGTGAACAATCAAATGAAATTATTATTACAATTTTATCACTACAGTATTTTGAGATAACAACGCTACCAAGATGGGCATTATTAAAAAGCTTATTATCACCTTTGTACTGTAACGGCTCACTCCTTGGTTTGCTGTAAACTATCCACACACAGGCGGTTAGTCTATGTGGACCGGCAAGTAAAAAGAGGCCACCAACCTCTTAAAAAAAAAAACCAGAATGATGCAGGATGATTATGGGATGAAGTGGAATTTAACAGCAGATTTAACAGATGATTCATGTTAGTGATCCGTTTAATCTGCTTATTTCACTAGGACCATTTATTAACCCTCGGGCGGGCGCTTACAAAGTTTTCCCCCGCACTTGTAGTTTTTGTTAATATAAATATGCATAATGGGTTTCGGCAGTCGTCTCCTCATTTTGTTGTCAGTTGCAATTCAGAGACGCGGTGTCAGTTTGCGGAGGTTTTACTCCGCGTGCGCCCTACTGAATAAGTCCTTAGGGCAGAGTTTATTTCCTTATGCGCTATTGTCAAACTATGTGTGTATATTTTATACATACAAAATTATAAACATGTTTAAAATAATTATTTCATTTATAATTATTATCAGATATATTTTGTTTGCATTTATTATAATTGCATTATTGCGGAACAAAACTCTGCACGCGTCCTCTTTGGTAACATACCTTTATATTAGAAAATTGCTCAATATGATTATTTGAAATATTACTCATATAAAGTTAGGTTAAACAAACAATTTTAATAGCAAAGAAATTAGGTTTCTGATTACGTTATTCAACATTTAAATATAATATTTTGTTATAACAAGTAAAATGGGTAAAATTTATGCTATTTAGTGTTGCGGAATACCCCGCATGCACGATGCACTCCTGTTTTACTGGTGAAGCGCCTCCTCGAGGGTTAAAAAGCCCAATGATCCAGGACAACCATCCAAAAATTTCAAAAAATTCTAAAATGCAACCTAGTTCTGGACCATAAAAATAAAAAATATTTTGGAAGAGAGAAGATTTGGAAATTTGATACCACTAAGTTATTGGACTAGGCTACTATGTTTAACATTAATACCTACCTGAAAGTCAAAACATACAAAACTGCTGCCACAATCACTGGAGCTGCTTCTGCTTTAGAAATTATTCTGATTCTGATTTTATAACTATAGGCAGGTCATTTTAAGCCATCGTCCTCAAGCCCAAACGCTCAGGAATGGATGAGACAGGACCGGAACAGGAATGTTCATGCTTGTGTAAAGTGTAAATTGCATATATAGTATAGCCTAGCATGCATCGCTTTCGCTTATCACCACCACCTCGCTTATCATCATTCATCGTCATCCTATTCCGTATTTCCGTTCCATCCCTCCAAATGACCAATGTTCTTCTTCTTCTTTTCTTGTTTGCTTATAAGCAGTTGGCGTGGTTAAACTACAGTACCATGTAGCCACACTATTTCAACTTATATAACGGCATACATACAGTAGTTTTGTCATATACTCTCTCTTAGTAGATTTCCCATCCTTATTGAACAGCTTAAGCCAATTTTACTGTTAGTTCTGTCCGGTGTACTGTAGAGTCGTGTTTTGAACTATTCGTTTCTAACTATTTCAGTAATCTAAAACCTCGTTTAACCAAATAAAACTATCTAATCATAAACAATAACTTGTCCACTAGCTATACAGGGTGTTTCAAAAAGAATCATCCGATTTCGTAGGTTTACAATTTGAAAACTAATAATCATACGGACATGAGGTTAATTTTATATTAAAGAGTAAATAATAAAGTGTTTTACGTATACCATTTACAGGTGCTCAATATGGTCTCCTTTAGATGTACAGCATATGTGCAACTTGTAATACAAATTTACTAAGGTAGAAAAAAGTTGTGAAAAATAATAAAAAATTTGAAAACAAATGCAAATTTTTGAAAGTAGGGCGTTTTTCTGGGGTGAAGGGGTGCGATTTTCGGAAAACGCCTAAGAGTGTCTTGTAGAAAATTTAATTTCTGACCGTGAAAATTCTTTCAAATCTTTGCTAGCTCTTACCACGTTCTAGCTACAGCCGTTTAAAATGTCTACAATTTTGGATTTTTTGTTGGGGGGGGGGGTTAAAATTTGAAAATGGGACTTTTAGATATTTTCCGTGAAACTTGAGAATTTCCTCTTTGCAACAGTATAATGTTCGATCAAATCGGATTCATAGATGAGTAGCTTTGATTTTTCAAAATCGGATGATTCTTTTTGAAACACCCTGTATAATATAACCAAATAGTGAAGCACAAATCATGAGAAACTAACCCTAAAAATAGAAACAAATTGTAAACAAAACACGACTCTGCAGGTACACTAGACAGAACCATTACCACCTTTAACACCTTCTAGCGCGGCCTGGTAGAATTGGCAACGTTGCAAGTAGTGTTGTCTAGCGCCAGACGTCCCATGAACATGGCAGGCAGGTGACACCAGCTCATTAATTCGCGTATTATTAGTTTAAATTCAAATTTATGAACATAAATGCATTAAAAGATTGAAATTAAAAACATTTAAAATTGAAAAACCAAAACAATATTTAAATTGAAAATCTATTTTTGTATATTTAGTGGAGTCAATATTTTCATAGCCCAGTAAACCAAGCTTTCATATTATTAAAAAATATACATAATGCCATTAGCTGCCTCCAAAACAAAACAGCTGTTACAACCCTACTTGCGATGTTGCCACTTTGAAGGCCACGGCCTGGTGTTAAAGGTGGCCGTGACAGAACTAGCAATAAAATTGGCTTCAGCTGTTTTATAAGGTTTGGAAATCTACTTAGGGAAATCTCCCTGTGTTTTAGTCTATGGTTTATCGGTCTTGTAGGTAGTTAGGTAATGTTCATGCTGCAAATTTTCCAATTCTAACTGCTCGCTTGATGGTCCATGGTCTATACTCTATATACTCTATATAGCTTTCTTAACAATCATTTTTGCTAAAATCATTAAAAACATTTGAAAAGTCAAGTGAGTTTTCCCAATTAAACTAAACCTAAATCTAGAATGAATATTATTTTTTCCACTTTTAATTTGAAATAACTATGTAGGCTATTTTGAATTTAAAATATATGATACATTGTAAAATATTCAATAAACAAACAAAATTAACATAACTAATCCGGGCCCCTGTGACCAGAATTGCACCAGCCCCACCCTTGTGGAGGCCATGGTCTATATGGCATGTACCTTAAAGAAGGCTGACTAAAAAACACCGCACACCTATCTAATGTTTTCTTGATTTTGTATGGCTACCTGTGAAGATAGCGGCCCATCTTTGTCTTTCTCGTGATGTATTGTATTGTTCTACGGTTTTTATTTGCTGTATTTTATATTAATTTAAACACTATGCGCACACAGATATTACTAAACATGTAGATATCGGTTTAAAGCTAAAATGATGTACTAAAAATATAAAAAAATCATTTTTTCGTATAGACCTCTGATTTAAAATCTAAAAGGAAAAACACGTTCTAAAAAAATAGACCGTAAAAATTAATTAGCCTACTTATGTAAATTTTCTGTCAGTACTATAAACATGTTGGCTAGTGGCATAGACTAACCAACATGTATGTTTTATCTATGCTAGTGGTAAGAACATTATTTTGTAGAAAATCTTATCACAAAGAGGATTATAAAGCTATTGTTGTGTCATGTCCGTTTTTGGAATTGTAGATAATTTTCGAAAATACTGCAAATTAATCTTAAAACGGGGCGAGTGGAGACAGAGGTAAGCACAAGGGGGGATCAGGGACTTTTGGGAAAATGCATACCTCAAAATGGTCTAACAGCATGCAAATTCAGTTTCCCTGGAATTATTATTGATTTCACACGAAAATTGTATTAACTTTGCTAGTTGAGTATGAATTGGTGATAAATATAAAAGAATGAAATGAACATTTGTTATACTTTAGTAGATTGCAGCATAAGCCAAGTAAGGTAGTTACTATGATTACCTTACTATGATTGCTGTTACTGATTTCATGTTTGTAAAATTAAGTTACATGACATCAAATTAGGGCTACCAAAAACAAACGTGAAAAAAATATACAGACAGATACAGATACAGACGATGGGACGACGACATTACTGTAAAGTGAGGTTATGTTATTGTTTTTATGTCTATACCTTTTTAAGTTGCCGGTTCACTTCATAATCTAATCGTTAATATGTTCAGGAACTATTTGAAAGTTTTGAGCTTCTCTTCCAGTGTAACAAGTTCAAATGTTAACAAACAGTGTATATTGAACAAGATAGCACATTTTTACGAATCTCTATATTGTAATCATTCCAACTACAGTAATAGGCTAAACCACACAGTTGTGGCTTCTTCAAACGTGTTAAGAAATTTAAGATTGAGCACTAACTTCAACAGCAAAAACTTTTGTGGTAAGACAGATACCTCAGCCAAAAATATAATTTTCAAAACACCAGAATCAACTTTGTGTGAATACAGTGAAAATAAACAAGATCAACATCAAATGGTCAAATCAGGTGATCAGATAGGCAGTACTTTAGGGAGTCAAGCGATAGGCCCAAGTGGGATAGATTTATTTGAAGACATAAACTTTGACGAAATTACAGGTGGAGATGAAGAAAAGACTAATAGTTTTAAGCTTCTCATGCTAGAACTTGATGTGATGCGACAAGACGGAATGTGTGTTCCCTCCAAAATGTCAACTGAACAGTGGAAAGAATTATTTGCTCTTCAGACTAGGAGTCAAAGACGCAAGTATTTAATGTATCTGTTTAAAACTGAAATGAAAAAATTAAATGAAAAGAGAAAAAAAACACTGAAAAGAGAAGCAACGGAACAGGCCCGCTCAGAAAATACACTTAAGCTTATTGATGGCCCTGCTGAACACATAAGATATGGATTTCAAGGCAGTACAATATTTGTAAGGATATATGACACAACGATTAATGCTCATGATAATAACAGATTGATTCAAGCAATGATGTTCGGTCATAATCTTGTAATTGACTGTGGGTTCTATAACGATATGAACCAAATGGAGAACAAATTGTGCTGTAAACAATTGGTTTACTTATTTGCAGAAAATCGAATTTCTAAAAACCCATTTAATATTCATTTTTGCAACCTCAAAAAAGATAGCTGTTTATATCATTTTCTAAAAAAATCTATTCCCACCATTGAAGATCCAGCTTTTCCAATCAACATACATGAAGGACACTATTTAAACTTATTTCAAAAAGAAAAACTGGTTTATCTTACACCTCATTGCCGTACTGAGTTGAAGGAGTTTAATCCTGATGATATTTATATCATAGGTAAGATATAATAGTAGATGCTGTAAGTTAGGTAAGGTAACTTAATCTAGGGATTAAACCCCATGTTGCTGTATTTATTAACTCTTATTTTTGGATACAGTTCCGCAGAGAATTGACAATAACCAACATTTAGGAAAATATTTAAATTATTTTTGTGGCTTGAAAAGGTGTTTTACTGCATAGCCTAACACATTTTTAATTAGCCTAGTTAAATGAATCAAAAAATCAAGATGTGGTGGGCCCTACTATATTTCTTGTGGTTTTTAAGATCTGTGTGTTCTTTAGGCCTAATAACAGTATCCTATACTCTAATACGAGCAATGTTTGCTTGTATGTAGGCTATGTATGTATGCTTGCTTGCTTGCAGAAAGATCTCGAAAACGGCTTCGACGATTTTCTTCAAATTTTGTAAATAGTTTATTTCTGGCCTAAAAACGAGTTTCCGGCAGATAGAACTGCCAACAAAAATCTAATTAGGTATTGTTCGAAACTGAAAATCACATTTTTTTTAACATTAGTCTTATGGTTTGCTAAGTAACCATGTTGGTTTAATTAAGGAAAAAGTAAACAAAAGGCTTGAAGTTGTATACTAGCAAATTACAAAATACAGTACAAAAAGAAAAACATCACTTGTTACTATTGATCAAAGATTATACTGAAGATTACCTGTAGGCCTACTCAAATACATTGTAGGCCTAGTAAAGGCTAGCAGTGCGAAGTTTGGTATCTATTTATGACGATTAGATTGAGGTATCTGGAATCTTAAAATGCTATGTGAAGGGAAGGAAACAGGTCCGCGACGTAGGAATTGGTGAAGGAAATAGTAAAGGCAATTATAAAATGCTATGGAAAGGGAGGGAAACAGGTCCGTGATGAAGGAAGTAGTAAAGGCGAGTAGTCCGGAGTGTGGGACTGTTTATGACGATAAGATTAGGGTATCTGCAATCCTAAAATGCTATGGGAAGGGAGGGAGACAGGTCCGCGACGTAGGAAGTGGTGAAGGAAGTAGTCAAGGCGAGTAGTCCGGAGTGTGGGAACTGTTTATGACGATTAGAATAAGGTATCTGCAATGTGTAATTAAGTAGGCCTAATTACACTATTTTTTAACAACAATCCATATGATTTTTGAAGAAAATAGCTGTAGCCTATAATGTAGATTTTGTTAAACTTATTATTGTTATAACTATTTTATTAGTTAAGATACAACTTTTTACCCAACAACCTTTTCTATTGGCCATATTTTTTGGATTAAAACTACGTTTTAACCGATGTCCCATTTTGTACCGTTATTGAGCTACAGTCGTTACAATGCATAGCACGTTCTGCCATCTTTGCCCCCCTCCCCCCCAAGTTCTCGACCACCTCAAAAGTAGGCGACATGCATATTTTTTATCACCACAGTCCATAATACAACTATCAGCAAAGATATTTGATATTACTTCTTTGCGACACTCACAAATTAATTCTAGGCCATCGGTAAAAAAACTACACGAAAAGTCCATTTTTACATATTTTATACAATAACTTGTTTATTTATAGAGATACGACCTCGGACTCAATAACCATTATTGTAGTCCACATTTTTAGAATTACAACGACGTTTTAACCGATGTTCTATCTTTTACCATTTTCAAAATATCAGCGTTTTAACGCATATCGCAAACCGCCATGTTTGCCCCCTCACCCCCACCTTATCGACCACTTTTGAAATAGGCGACATACGTAATTTTTATCACCACAGTCCATATTACAATAATCAGCAAAAACATTGCGTAATACTTTCATGCATGCTCAAACCAGCTCCTGGACTATAAGAACTACATATTTATAATTGGTGTTTTGATAAATAGACTACCGGTACAATCCAATCTATTCCTAGCTAGATATACAGTAGACTCCCACTCATCCGGACCCTCGCGACCGAGGCCCGTCCGGATAACAGGTTTTCCGGTTAATCCGATGTCCCCAAAATCTCGTTAAAACGGACCGTTTAAATGCATACTCTATACAGTATTTGACTTAAAATTAGGAGAGCATTGTATTTAGACACGTAATCACTGGTCTCAAATCTTTCCCATGAGAACAGTCGTTTCAGTACCGCCTACTTCCTGCCGATCTAGTCCGGTTAAACTGATGTGCTAATAAAAATTATCCGGATAAAGAGATGCCACTTCTACCAAGTGTAGTCCAGTTAAACCGATGTCCGGTTAAAAGGTGTCCGGATAAGAGGGAGTATACTGTAGGATAATGACAATGCCACAATCATGCAATTGCAGAATGAAAAGTACCGGTACCTATGTTGTCGTTAAAATCGGAGTTCAAGCATTTGGTGGATTAAGTATTGTAAAGTATTAGTGGTTGAAGTAAATTACAAACTAAAAATTAAAACGTTCATGTTGTAGCCTAAATGAAGACTTCTTCCCTTAGTTTTAACTTCGTTAGTCACACATGCTTAACTAAATCAATAGGCCCTATAGACAAATGGATCTAGCCCAAATATGTTTTTTTTTATTTTTTAAAAATAAAAAAATAAAAATTTGTTTGCCTATCAGATTAAACATTAAATACATTTAGCCTTTTAATTTAAATTTTTGTGAGCAAAGCCACGACAGGTTTGCTAGTCCATAGGCCTACATAAGTATCAATATCTAGATGTATTTAATACGCTAGGCATATTTTTGTCATAACTGTTTTGGAGTGGTGGTGCTACCGATCACCATGTCCAAGGTGTCGTTAGAAAGGTCTTAGCATGTAGTTTTGCCATCAAACAAAACAAACTTTGGAGTTCCATCAGGGCTCTGCCCCTGTGGCCTTCAAAGTTCCCATGTTATTCTTAGGGAGAAAATGTTTGTTTACATTTGAACAGATGGATACTTTGAAATTGACACTGATATTTGAAACAGCTGGTTATACTAAAATTTAGCACAAAATCAAAACCGAACCAAAAAACGTTCGACATAATGGAGACTATTTAAGATGGTGACCAGGACGGCCAAATAAATTATTAATAATTATATTGTTATTATTAATTACTGTTATTCATTTTAAAATAACGCCTGTAATACTTAGCAATTGCTCGAATTCGAGCAACAGGTACACTAGTTTAACTTAATTGACTTTTTTACAGACTTGAACGATACGGAGGCTGGTGTAACTGAAGTTATGACAACTAATGATGATGATTTGTTTAACCTTCTCTAGGAGCAATTGTGGATAGAGTGAACCAGATGCCTTTGACTTTGGCTAAAGCGAAGAGTGAGGGGTTACGGATGGCTCAGCTGCCTTTGGATCGATACCTTGAATGGGGATTGGGCAACAAATCTCTAACAGTGAATCAAGTGGTGAAGATAATGCATGATTTGCAAGTGACAGGTAATTGGGATACTGCATTCAAGCATGTTCCACGAAGGAAGATTCGTGTACCTGGGGAACACGTGAGGGATCCTAGAAGACAATACAAGAGAGGAACAACTCTTCAACCATCTACATATTTTATCAAGAAGAACTACTAATGAAGTAAGTACATGCTACTGAACTGTAATTACTTATGTGATGACCACCAATCGCTGAGTTTTTAACTGCTTCTCGTAACCCTGAATTTATTCAGGGGAGATAACCGTAGAGTTTGTGCGTTTCTTCGTGAAGCCTGGGTGTGAGGGGCTGTAGTGGCAAGTGGGGAGCCGAGGGCGAGAGGGGAAGTTGACTTCGTCTTCCTATTCTGCTACTAGTCTGACTAAAGACATTTCTCTGTTTTTCGGAGTTCGGACCGCGGTGTGGAGGCGGTTCAGGTTGCTCGCACAAGTTGTGTGATCATATTAATGTAGACCAATTAAGGGTTCCATAACAGAAATGAGTGTTCTCAATAAATATCAAATTTTTTACCTCATTAAGAGGAAGATGAAAATGTTTAAGAACGGAGAATAGCATAAGTTATGTTATAAAATTCTCTATATTACTCTATAGGCTACTCCAAAAATTACACTTTAATGAGCCAGAGATGTTTCATGGGCAAAAACAAGTACAAATAATGCATTACTATTATACGAAACTATGTCTTAAACATACCTAAACAATTGTATTTTCACACCACTGTATAAACAAGTTAAGTTTTAAGATAATCAAACTGACATCCCAAATTTTTTTTAAAAAGAGTGAATCTGCCATGTTGCTCGGACAGTGTGAGAGTGCAGACTGATTTTCGGTGTAACCCCACCCCTACAAAACCATCTAAGAGCCGTTATAACCACCTTCCCCCAGGCTTCACCAGAAAACGCACGAGCTCTATGGATTCAGAAATTTGTCACCAGAATCAGCAAGGGTCTAGCTTGTTTAGCCAATGATTCTATTAGATTTTAAACTATTGCCATCCTGCTTAAGGCAAAAGTATATTATAAGAGGACAAAAGATCTAATAGTGAGGTTAGATTAGTTTTATATCTGAGCCGCCTTTAACATGAGGTTTCACCGTTTATAGAAGCTCTGAATTTAGGCATACTTTGCCCTTGGGTCACTGTATGTAGATAACTGATCTTGTTTGGTCTAATTAAATATCCAGTTTGTGAAGAGCCTTAGCACCTATACTACAAACTCGAACCCTTAGGTAATATGTCTCTATGAAAATATTAACAACTAAGCAAAACCAAATTCTGTTTCATGGGGTTTGGAAGAAGGGGCTTCATGTAATTCAGTCCTGTGTTTCACAAAAAACTTCCCAACTTTCCTGGAATTTTTCAAAAATGTAAAAGCAAACAACTTTTGTTAGTATTTTATTTTTAACTTCATATATATACACTCTTGACCTATGTTGTCAGAAAAATTGGTAGTTCAATCCGGCAAATATGTTTGTCAATAAATAATGAAGGGAATCAAAAATGATAGGAAAATTTGCTTGCTTAGACTTATTTGTGTGTAGTCTAATATGTAAAGGCAAGTCTACACACAAGGATCAAATCGTTGCGTGTGTACCGCAAAATTGTGTATTTTTTAGAACTGCGCGGAGACGGAAGACGGAGCGATAAAACTATTGCGTAGAGCATAGTTTTGACAACGATTTCAGACAAGTCGTTGCGTGTGTACACTGTCATCCGTTTCAACTCCGTCTTCACGGTCAAAACCCCAGTATGCATGTTGTCTTAGCGTGCTGTCAGAGGTACAAGTGTGTTTTTAATTCGGATCGCAGATTTTTGCCAATGTTCCCGTGATTTATTGTTGAATTCATCGAATTGTACAGAAGTTTTCCTTATTTATGGAGGGTCAAGAGTAAGGAACATGTTGACTGTGATAAGAAAAAGACTTAAGAGACTTTTTAAAAATACAAAGCAGTAGATTCGAACATGAACAGAGAAACTATTATGTAATTGGTTGACTTTCTTGTAACACTGGCTGCAGAAATTGACCACAGTAACACATCATCCATGATATTACATGCACATACACTGAAAGTTAGCATAAAACTATACTAAAAGCTGGTGCTGAAACCTGTACTGTGTGGACGCATTTCTTTGCAACAACTTGACTGCAACGTTTTACCTGCGCAGGTAAAACGTACGCGAAATCCTTGCGTGTAGACCTGCCTTAACATAAGAAGCAAATAACTATTTCTTGCTGTCACCTGGCAAAGTAGCCTTCCTTGCTCTGATTATAAATAGTACAGAAAGTTGCTAATTGCTGCTGATTTTACTTCCTTTTACCACACTCAAGTACCTATTCTAACCAAACATTAAAAAAACAGCGTGTTTTTTTAGGTACTTAATACCTGTACGCCTGAAAAGAAGTGAAGTTGGCAACACTTAAAGGTGATTATGATTACGACAATGATCAGCTGGTGCAGCGTTTCCCATTTTGTTTAATGTTTGGATTTAACCTAACCTAAAAATGTGTTGTACAGTGTTTAAAAGACTAATTATTTATATGCGTTATAGTAACTGTAGGAAAAATATAATGTGTAACGTGAGTGCAAACTGCCTTTGCTGCACTCAAGAAACTTTCCACCATGCGTAAACATTTCTCTCATGTGCAGCAAAGTGCCACTTCGCTCACTACAGTAGTTACACAAATAACTATTGCATCCAAGACATTGTTTGGTAGGTCGATAAACTATGTCTATAAGATACTTAATCTTCCTTGGTAACCTCTCTATTTCATTAATCTTGATATTGGAAATGGAAATATACATGTTTTGTGTTGCTGTCAATTAAATTTTCAAAGCACTTGCAGATTTAATTGTTCTGTTATTATGACAGTTTTATGATTTTGTTTTTCTCATTTTCAGGTTGGTCCTTGATCTTCAAGTTGCCAAATAAGGTCAAGTTTGTGTTGAAGCACTGATGGGTCCAACATCCCATCAATATTGTAAATTAGACCATGCTGTACAGATAGTCAAGTATTATGCTTAGGTAAGATTGTCTTGATTATTGAATTTTGTCTTTTTGTAAAATTGTGACCATAAATTACAGTTAACTATTTATTTCACCCACCATTCTTGTCCATGTCCAGATGTCCCTAATCCTAATGTTGCTATCATATGCAGGAAAACAATAGTGAAACACTGACAAAATAATTAATTGAATCTATTGAATCTTTTGTTCAGCATTTGTACAGACCCTGCAGTCTACCACGGCCGCCTTTAACCTCCAGGCCGTGGCCTTCGAAGTGGCAAAATTGCAAGTGGTGTTCTAACAGCTGTTTTGTTTGGAAGCAGCTAATGGTATTTGTGTATTTACAAAAGATTGGTTACTGGACTATGACAATATCGACTCCGCTTAAAATGTAGGTACAGAGATATAGATTTTTAATTCATATTGTTTCGGTTTTCAAATCTGTATTTTTTTTTCAATATTTTAATAAATTTATGTTCTTAAATTTAAATCAATAAAGTGCAAATTAATGAGTTGATGTCACCTATCTGCCATGTTATCTTATGGGACGTCTGTCACTAAACAACACCACTTAAGACGTTGCCAATTCTACCAGGCCGCAGCCTGTAGTTAAAGGTGGCCGTGATTCTACCCCATAGAACTACAACAAGTTGTACTTGTTGTAGTTCTATGGTCTACCCAAAGCCAGCAGGGAAACATGGTTAATGTGATCCATCGGTGACTAGTTCTAGTTCATAAAGACCCCTCCGTAACAGAAAAAAATTTCCCTAAATAAATTAAATTTTAATTTTAATATTCTTCAGTAAAGTAAATTACAATAATTTTACCGTTGTAATATTACATGTCATTCATTCATCATTAACATTAATTTCTCTATTATTTTGTATATTTTCTCCCATAATGTTTGTTAATGCCCCTGATAATGTGTTATCAGTTATTTAATATGCTTCTTCTCCATGTTAATGTATTATTTTCTCCAATTTTGTTCATTGTTATATAATATCCCATCACCCCACAGAAATATCATCCTATTTTATGTTACAATATAATATTTATGCAAATTCTCACCAGATCTATCCTATTATACTTATCAAAACCAACAATAATCAAATTTACTTAGAATAATATCATAGATAAAACATACTCCCTTAGTAGATTTCTCATCCTAATGGAACAGCTGAAGACAATTTTATTGTTAGTTCTGTACGGTTTATGTAGAGGTCATGTTTTGTTTACAATTTGTTTCCCGTTAATACAGTCATTTAAAACCTTGTTTAACCACCTAATACGATCTAATCATAAACAAAAAATTGTCCCCTAGTTATTTAACCAAACAGTAAAGCAAAAATCAAGAAATTAACCCTAAAATAATATAAACAAAATTTCGTCGACACATGTGGCGCCATGAACTAGACATGAAAAACGAGCTTCAAAATTTACAATGGGATTAGATGTCTACTTGTGTTGGTTAGTCTATGATAATATATAATTGTAAGAAAATTGCAATATAATAATAACATCTTAAATATAGTATTATTTTTAAAACTATCCAAAGAAAATCAAAATTACTGTGGCAAGTGTCATTTATGTGAATTAAACCAGCTTTTTACAATAATAATAATACAATACAACAATAAATAATTACAAAAAACCTAGCCTATTTCAGAACAATAATTAAATTATCTGCATTTTAAATAAAGCCTAAATATATCATTCGAACCGGCACGACCACCCCTCCCTGAGATCAAGAGCTCATAATATATTTAAATATTAATCACTTCAGAAGAAACCAATCCAATATCTATTATAGTATAGAATCTTTCTATCCACTTTGGAAGCTCCACCATTTTGTAAATTTACCATTGTTAGACTGTGGTCAACAATTTTGAACGAGGGAAAACGGGAAGTTTAAACTTCCCAGTCAACTCTGCTACGAAAGTCATTTGCCGGTAATATCGCGTATTTTCAAAGGTTAAGTTATGTTAGGTTAGGTTAGTGTAGTTTATTTGGATCCAGCTAGCGCAGTGACCGTAGCTGCAGATTTGTCGCGCACACTTACACCTTGCTTACTCCAAAAAGCACCACAGCAGGGAATTTGTGGGGACAAAACAATTTCAATTTTCCCGCATTGTGGCTACCTGGCTGTTACTTCCTTAACGGGTCTGTTGTGCCAATCGTGCCTTTCCAAACCTTACAGGTTGATCCTTCTTAATCCCCTCTAATGATTGTGCCAGTCGTGCTATTCCAAATCGGGTAAAAATGTGTGCCAATCGTTCTATGGCCGGCTATTACCCCAACCCCACAGGGAAAAAAAGCTATTACCGTAGTACTCATGGTAAGACCTGGACCCGGGACCCCATCCATTCAAATTTATATAGATATTATATTTGATATTGTTCACGTGTAGGGCTACTGTAATTAATATTAATAAAAAATAATAATAATAATAATTAAGAAAAGGGTACTATGGTGTATCTATCTATATATTAATAGGCAAGCATGTTTCTTTAAAACCTTTTTTCTCAGGTCGTGTGCATCGCAGAGAAAATCTACGCATACTGTTGGAAAGATATTTTCCTGTAGATGTGCAGAATGCCTCTAAAAATTAAAATAGGCTAACAAATAAGCACAAAAAATTAATTTGAAAACTTCAAAAAATTAACATGGAGCATATGGGTTGCCATGATGGTGACGAAATAACAACAAAATGTAAACAGAAAATCAAAACAAATGGAAGAAATTCAAATCACATGTGTTATTTACAGTGTGGGGAGAAAATAGAGAAGTCTGTACATTAATTATTTTTGGTCGAGTTTCGACCACAGGACGACCACTAGTTATTTATTAATCTATGCTTATAAAAGGCAAAGCCCTCACTGACACACTCACTCACTCATCACTAATTCTCCCACTTCCCATTTACCTAGGAGGCTGAAATTTGATACACCGATTCTTTAGGAATTAAATAGGAAAACTAAGTTGTTTTTATTCTGATTGGACACTCGGGCTTCGCCCCAGTGGCTCTGGAGTTTCCCATGTTAACCTTATGATTTTTCATGTTTAACCCTTTCAGTGCTAGGCCAATAATTCTTATTTTGTAAGACTTTTTTGTTTGCCTTTTAATTCCATTACCTGTTGTTGAATTTTAACTGTCATGTCACTATTTTATTAATTAGGCTAATTTTGAATAATAACACAATAAGAAAATATATAAGAAAGATAAATCCCGCTATTTGTAGTAAACATTAAATAAAACTTAGTTTTTTTTGTAATTTTCCTGGTTTTCCTATAAATTTTTATGTTTTGATAGCATTATTTGAAACCAAAATCTCATAAAATCAAAAGACAGTTTACAATGTAATATTGAATTTAACCTTGATTTAGTTGAATGAGGTTATCGTAATATAGCAATTTTAGGGAAACTAATGTTTTGCAGCAAAGTCTCAGGAATACATTTATGATCACTGTTGTGTTTAAACTAAAAGATTGCATCTAAATAGTCCATGACTAACTGGTGCTGCTACTTAGTAATGCATTGAACAACCATCTGCAGCGCCATCTATTCGCAATCGGTGGCGACAGCTTAAATACCGGGTTTTGACTCCCCAGTCTTCAAGCACAGATAGCCGAGAAGGCTAGGGCGTGTGTCACTTGGCCAGTGGCATTCGTCTGCTCGGGTTCGAATCCCATCCTGTGTGGCAAATGATTGGTGACCTGTGTGTTTGTAGCGATATACTACAACCACTGGGGCATAGTGAGGTGTTCATAATCCTTGGTTTAGACATACACCTCGAAATCATCGGATTGGGCGAATCTTTTAGCTAAGTGGTTGATAGTGTATCCTATGAACATGCAGGTCACCAATGGCCGTTTTGCTATTTTTTGTTAAAATAACCTTCCTCTCTATATCCCTTAGAGATTTTTTAAAACAACGATATATCGTTTCATAGCACTGAAAGGGTTAAAAGGAATTAATGAATCTTATCAGCTGTTTCAATTAAACAAGTTGATTATGTTCTATGATGTTCAATAGCATTAAAGTTACAAGGATTACCAACAGGGTGCAGCACTATTTTTTTCATTTTCTATTTATGACAACAGCTAATTTGCAACCAAAAGGTGAGTGAGCGTAGCGAACAAACTTCAACCTGGAGGCGAGTTAGCGTAGCGAACGAGCTAATCTGAAGGCAAGTGAGCGCAGCGAACGAGCTCCAACCCAAAGGTGAGTGAGCGTAGCGAACGAACTTCAACCAGGACGTGATTGAGCCATGCGAACAAGCTCATCTTGAAAATTAAGATGTTAAACGGGGCAAAGCCCGCGGGTACAGCTAGTATCATATATATAAAAGGCAAAGCCCTCACTGGCTGACTGACTGACTCACTCACTCACTCACTCATCACTAATTCTCCCACTTCCCATTTACCTAGGAGGCTGAAATTCGGTACACTGATTCTTTAGGCATTAAATAGGAAAACTAAGTAGTTTTTATTCTGATCGGACTCTCGGGCTCCGCCCCAGTGGCTCTGGAGTTTCCCATGTTAACCTTATGAGTACTCATAATAAAATGGAATTAATGAATCTTAACAGCTGTTTCAATTAGGTAAACATGTTGGTTCTGTTCTATGATGTGCAATAGCATTAAAATTACAAGGATTACCAACAGGGTGCAGCAGTGCCCTGTTGGTAATCCTTGTAACTTTAATGCTATTGCACATCATAGAACAGAACCGCAGCACTATTATTTTTTTTTAGTTTATGACAACAGCTAATTTGCAACCAAAAGGTGAGTGAGCGTAGCGAACGAACTTCAACCTGGAGGCGAGTTAGCGTAGCGAACGAGCTAACCTGAAGGCAAGTGAGCGCAGCGAACGAGCTCACTTATGAAGTAAAACGGGGTAAAGCCCGTGGGTACAGCTAGTATATATATATATTTATTTATATATGTGTCCGTTAGCGCGATAACTCAAGCAAAAATCATCCGATTTTGATGAAATTTGGTACAAACATGTAAACCTACGTTTATTCGAATGAGTTTGCGAACCAGCATGATGGGACTATGGAATCAGGGGTT